TTCTGCAGAATATGCTAGATGACTTCAACATAGTTACAACATCCCCATACCTGCCAACAAATGCAGTATTCAAAACAATCATACCCTTCTGAATAAGAGTAATCTTCCTTTGGGGCAATGCCGTGTGTTTTTTGCAGGGGCAATATCCAAACAAAATATGAAGTATTCATGATTCATAAGTATTCATTGAAAAGTTGCACCATGCCCTTTGAAGGAACGCAATGTGCATTTCCACATGTCTAACCCTCCTTTCAAAGGAGCAGTACCCCTTTTAGAAAAGCCAATATTTCTGCATAATATATGCAGAATTATTGACATAGAGCATCCCTTTCAAAAGCGCAACATGTTTGAAACAGTGAGCACTATTACAGAATGCTCTTTCGTTCTTACCACTGAACAACAGAATATTGTCCTGGCCTGTATGGCAAAAAATATTCCTGTGAAGGAGCAGCATTCTTGGAAAACTGGATTTCTGTTGTTTGATATGTGTACTCTTCCCCTTGGTCAGATCAGCCCAGCCTTCATTTAGACAACTTTCACTTATATAAAGACTTAAAGATATGTTTTCAATACAATCCAATAATATTATGTTTGTTTAATCAATTATCTCACTCATATCAAGGGGGTGTTGCACAAATTCAACAGATTCTTCAAGGACGACCATGCTCTTTCAAAAGGGTGCTACATGCACACAGTATACCATATGTTCAAACAATGTATGATTGTCTTAAGGTTTAAAGATGCACATTCTTCAAATTGCAATATTTTTCAAGAGGAGAGCTGCCTACACCAAAGGGTGTTATTCCCCAAATATGTTTCGTTGTCTTGGAAGAATATCAAATTATGCATTCAGAAAAATGATGTGCCATTGTGAAGGACATATTTTACGTGCTTACATGTACCATGTGTTCTTCATTTAAGAACATATATTGTGAAAAGGGCATTGCATGTGCAAGAGGGTTCATTTTTGACATAGAAGTAGACTAAGACATGACCTACTTCAATGGGAAGCTCTACCATTTTAAAAGAACTGCACTTGTTGAAGGGAGCACTCACTTCAAAGAGATGCATCACTCCTTTTCAAGGGAATCTTTCAAAGTGTTTGAACATGTGTTAACTCAAGGGTTTAAACCAACAATGTCAATATCAAAATCAGTTCTACAGACGTTGGCTGCCTATGTTTTTGCATCTCTTCAACATAGTTTTTGAAAAATTACATGAACAGACAAACTTGCCTAATCTCTGTCCCAAGCCCCCCAAGTTTCTTCCAGTGATACCTGCATTTTGCAATGTTTTTTTTAAACATGGAAGCAGCCAATAAAATCAACCAAAAGCAAGTTTGCGACCCCTAACTGGCAAAGAGTGAGGTCTAGGTCCTTCATTTTTGTGTTGTTTTGCCAGCCCTTCAAAAAACCAACAACGAACCAGAAAACCAGAAACCAAGAAACCAAAAAACTATTAAAAACAAAAGAATCAAGAAACCTAAAAACCAAAAAAAAAAGGCAACAAAAAACATTAAAAAAACAAAAAAAATAAAATGACAAGACCCAACTCTCTGCCACTACTCCCCCCCTTGGGTGTGCAATCTTGTTTTTTTTTTTTGTTTCTTGTTTTTTTGTTTTCTGGTTCGTTGTTCCCCACCTGCCAGGTGACGGTTGTTAGATTTTATCACAGTTATTCTCCTCCTCCGCCTCCTCCTCCTCCTCCGCCTCCTTCTTCTCCTCCTCCCTCTCCTCCAGCTTCTCCTCCACCACCTTTGCATCCACTCCCATGTTCACTTCCGCCTTGCCAACTCTTCGCCAAGCTCTTCGCCAACTTCCGCACGCAGTGGGCACTGCTGGACCTCAACTGCAAGGGTCTGAGCGCACTGGGCACCGCTGGATCTCAACCTGGGACCTTCCGAGCTCAGTGAGCACCGCTGGACCTCAACTTGGGACCGTCCGAGCTCAGTGAGCACCGCTGGACCTCAACCTGGGACCGTCCGAGCTCAGTCAGCACCGCTGGACCTCAACCTGGGACCCTCCGAGCTCAGTGAGCACCACTGGACCTCAACGGCCAGATAGAATGCCAGAAGATATGCCAGATAGAATGTCAGAAAGAATGCCGGAAGATATGCCAGATAAAGTGCCAGTATGTTTGCCAGATAGAATGCCAGAAGATATGCCAGATAGAATGTCAGATAGAATGTCAGAAGGTATGCCAGATAGAATGTCAGATAGAATGGCAGAAGGTATGCCAGATAAAGTGCCAGAATGTTTGCCAGAACATATGCCAGAAGATTTGCCAGATAGAATGCCAGAAGGTATGCCAGATAAAGTGCCAGAATGTTTGCCAGAACATGTGCCAGAAGATTTGCCAGAATGTTTGCCAGAACATGTGCCAGAAGATATGCCAGAAGATATGCCAGATAGAGTGCCAGAAGATATGCGAGGTAGAATGCCAGAAGATATGCCAGATAAAATGCCAGAAGATATGCCAGATAAAATGCCAGAAGATATGTCAGATAGAATGCCAGAAGATTTGCCAGTAACAAAACGTATAGATGTCATGGTGGGGATAACTCGAAGTAAAGTACTTGGTTTTTGTGCAATGGCTAAACAAAACCCAAAAAAACATAACAAAAAAAAACAAGATTGCACACCCCAAGGGGGAAGTAGTGGCAGAGAGTTGTGTCTTGTCATTTTTTCGTGTTTTTTTGGTTTCTTGTTTTTTTTGCTTTGTTGGATTTTGGTTTTGTTTTAGCCATTTCAGAAAAACCAAGCAGAAATTGTCAATGGTTGCAAAGCAGTGAGAGAACCATCGCAGATGCAGTGGTTGCAAAGATGTGCAGTGTCAGTGGTGGCAGAATGCAGTGACAAACCGCACTCCCAGGGTGTCCCCTTCTGTAGATTTTCTGGCCACTTGTGCTTATTGTGCAATACTGTAAAATGTATTAATTTGTGATTAGCCTACTTGCAAGTGTGAAGCGATTTGGTGCGAGATGTGTACGAATAGACGACAAACTTACGATGGCACTGTGACCTATCTATTTGTTTCCGCTGGCCGTGGGCTCAGCTGCAGTTGGCTGCATAGAGGGCTCGGGCTCCGATTGGTGAACCATGCGCCTGCCAAGCACTCGGCTGAACAGAGACTTGCATGGAGGGCAAAAGGCGTTGTTGCAGGATTGCGGGATGTCGATGCTGGGAAGCTGGGACAGTTCTACCCAGAACATCCCAGGACCAGAATATTGGTGTGACTGAATCGGATCAGTATGATGTGAGCTATGATCCAAGCAGACAAAAGGCTGCCCCACATCTTCTGGGCCTTGTCATCGCCTCAGCATTAATACAGTGTGAATGGTTTTTGCATTAAGCTCATTAGTATCACTTCGGATTGTTTGCAACTTCTTTTGTACCATTCTCCGCAATGGACGCTACAGCGCTCACCATGAAATTTGCCTTACTGGCAGGGTTGATGATCTGACTTATTTGCATATCTTGCACTGAGTCTGGCCGTAGCCGCTGAAGAGGCAAAGGGCTGAGACAAAGCGCTTGTTTACGAAGGTTTTGGACATGTTGGACACAAATCTTATGTTTGTCTGGCATATGCGACACTGCTCAGACATTGATTCCAATTTCTTCCACACTCTATAGTTGGTAACACTGGCTTCAGATTTCAAGTGAAATCTTGGTCAATCACCAAGCGACGAGCCCGTCAGGATGCCAACCACTACAAGCAAGTGGGGTCAGCCTGTCGCTTTGACGACATGATGCGGCCGATCTATCTCAAACTTATTTTCAGACTTCATGCCACACCTACGCGCCCAGTAGCGCGTTTGACACTTAACCAGCCATCCTTTGAACGCAACCTTCTTTCCAGTTTGGTGTCAGCAGGAGGACCCCCCTGGCTTTGGCAACTTCTCAAACTTCGGGTACTTGTAGTTTTTTGAAAGCTCTCTCCCGTCAGGGCACTCCAAGTGCATCGTATTGCCAGGCAAGACTTCTTGAAGGAAAACAAAAAGCGAGAAGGAACTGGCTTTGGCACTGCTGTTGGTGTGCTTGTTGGGCTTCAAGGCAAAACAGCCCAATGTTTCTTACTGCCATTCTGATTCATTGGTTGGTTGGTGATGTGCGACATTGTGTGCGACCAGTGACCATTTGTGCCTTTAGATTTCTTGGGCAGACGGATCTGTTGGAGCCCTGATGGATGCTATCAATTGATGTGTTCGCCTCATTGCGCACCTGCAGCCGCGCTCAGAGGCTCAGAGAAATCTTAATTGGATATAGCACCGGCCCGCGCGGTCCAATCGTGAGTATTGAGGCAATGGCACCACCACCCCAGGACAGCCATCTAGTTGAATCTAGTTGGCTCCATTTGTTTCTGGTAGCAAGCTTGCATTTACTCTGCAAAGTGCCGGAGCTGGGAAAGAAATAAAGTTCCTTCTTCCATTCTGCTCGACTGCAATGCGCAGACCGGATAGGCACAAACGACATCAAACGACATGGTACAGCTTATTACGCCAAGATGCGGAAGATGTGTTTCACTGTTTCATTGTGTTTCTAAACGGCTTTGTCCGGAGGATGATATCACTGCAGTGATTCCCGAGATCGTGGATGATGATGCTATCAGCCCAAAAGATGCTCAGGCCAGGCACCGGTCAGCTCTTTGGACAACACCTGGTGGCTAATCACCAGTTGGGATGCTGTGGGGACACGTGGCCACAGCTTGTTCAAAAACCCTTCCATATCCTTCCATCAACAGTTTCACAACTGTACTAATCAATGCAGTGAAATCCGTGCAAAAGGTGTGATCTTGGCCCTTCCAATCCAAAATATCCAAAGTCACACTGAGGTGTCTCCGAAAGCCGGGCAGATTGAAGCTTGGTGCCAGCGGCCGGGGAGTTGGTGTTAGATGTTTGGGCTCCAGCATGCGACAAGTAGATCACCCGAGATCACCCATCTTCCCACCTGAGAGATTTTTTGACACAGCTGATCACCAGATCCAAGGCATCTCCCAAGGCTATGGAGGAAGGGGAGAAGGCGCCACGAGATCACACAGGGGCATTGAAATGCGCAGTGCGCAGCTTTAGTGCGCTTTATCATGATTGATTCTGGTCTATTGCAACGATTTTCAACAGGTATATCGGTATATTTGTATATTCTATATTATGTATGTGTATGCATATATTATGCCCTGGATATAGTCTGAAGTGGTTTGCATGGAAATCATTGTCAAGAAGCATTTTAAGTAATTTTCAACTCAAAGCCGGCTTCCTGTGCCGGGATCCTTCGAATCCTTCGAGATGATCAGTCTTCGATTCCACTGCATATCACTGCATACAGTAGCAACCCACAGTTCTTAAAATCCTTGGATTGACAAGCTTTGCTGCGACGCTCCAGCCAGGCGAAACCAGCCAAGTATTTTCCCCTATGGAAGCTGGCGCTAGTGGCCCTACCACAGCTTGGAGTTCAAGTGACCTGGTGCTTCATTGGGCCAAATGCTTCTCGGCATGTCTTAGCTTTTGATAATGGACGCTGTATAAATATCTCTTCCTCGTTTTCCTTCAACTAAGACAAGTTCAGGACGCCGACACCTGCAGCAGAATCTTCAATTTGTAGAGGTTGAAAAGCAGGGACAAAAAAGGAGTGCCAGGGGGAAAAAAAAGGAGTACTGTACAGGACCAGCAGCAGCAATGGCAGCAGCATGAACGGTAGAAACAACAAGTTCTCAAAGAAATTGTGATTTTGCACGATTTGGTACATCCAAAGCGCCACCGGTAGCACATACTGTAATTTGCAAGACCGAGTGCAAGACCCTCTTGGTGCATTTTGCTTTCAGCATCCGGGATAGTCTACATGAGACATGAGGTTGCCATCAATTGCGACCCTCAATTTATTCAATGAAACAGCAGGGTAAGTTGAGATAGTGATGTGCACTTGCATCAAAGTGGACGAACAGACATACTGAACCATCATGTGCCATTTGCATTTTTTTTGTCGAACCAGCATGATGGAATCATATGGAATCCAACACGTTGAAAAAGTGTCACGTGCTTTCCAGCAGCGCCGCCTTCAGCCTGTCCAGGCTGCACCCTACATGCTTCATTTAGGCGTTGGACCTTCGCTGGCAACCCTGAGCCTTAGCATTGACATCATTGGAGTTGTTAGGAGTTTAGCATGTGGATTTGTGGGATTTGGCAATGTGGTGGCAGCTGAGAAATGAATCAAACTGTATATATCAAACCAAATTACAGGTCCAACATATTCCAAAATGACATGATCCACTGTGATCAGGGTAGCCCATCTCAAAAACTGTGAGGAGACCAAGCTGAAGCTTTGTCAAGACGGCAGAATTACGCGAACTCCAATCGTTTCAGTTAAACATAAACATCCTCCAAATCTTTTATACGCTCTTGCCAACTTGAGCGAATTGGTGGTTGGGTTTGGGATGGTTTGCATATGATATGTCTTCCTTTGATTGAAATCTGAACCTTGGGGTTCAGAAAAGACTAGTCAAAACTGAAATTCTTGTCTTACATGCAAGTAGGTTGGTTGGGTAGGGTCAACATGTGATTTGAAAAGTTAAATGGATGGCTGGTGGACTTGACATTTTGGCTCAAGTCCACCAGCCATACTTCTTTTTTGGCGCTGGCCTCGGTGGACTGGCCTGACGTGCAGCGGCAGGCGGCTGAGTTTTTGAGGGCTCACCCAAGCGTCCGGGTGGCCTCCCTGACACGCTCCGAGAGGACTGTGATCCCCGGAGCGGCCACAGCTTGGAGTGTCCTGCACTACTACAAGGCCTCGGCACAGATTAGATTCGTGCCATAGGCGCGCAGCCGTGCATTCGCTGCGGGGAGTGGACAGGCTGTTTCTGTGAAGGTTGCCAGCCTCCACCGAAGGGAGCACCTCCTTTGTCCTGACTGTGTGGCCGAGGGCAAGGTGTACTCCGAGGTGGAGCAGGTGGGCGACGCCGGCGTCGTGGAGATCTCTGGCCGAGGGACCATTTGCCCAACCCCCGTTCGGACCCCAGCGGAAGAAATCCCGCGTCGAGCAGATGGGACGTTCGACGCCGACGAGCTCATGGCCTTTATTGAAGCCGGGAGGAGACGCTGCGTGGAGGACATGGGCATCCAAACCACTGGGGGCTTCCATCATTCCCAATCCTGCTTTGGACGGCGCCTGCCGGCCCAAGAGCAATGAAGGTAGCCATAGCGTGGACCAATGCGCGCCGTGCAAGTGTCCGCGCGGCTGAGCAGCTTGGTCGGATGGTTGCTCAGGAACGCCTGTCGTCGAGCGTGAGTGGCTCCGATTCCTCTGCATCGTCCTGGGCTCAAGCTACACCGAGCCTGTTCAGGCAGACCAAGATCTCAAGATGAGGGTCGACCTTCGCGGCCCACACCACAACCGAAAACTACGGTTGAAGGTGCCGAGAGGGAGAAACGTGAGGCCGAGGACAACCGTGAGGGGCAAGCGGAGGAAGCCGAGAACAAGGGACAAGAGGCTGCGAGCAAAATGCTCGCATGGATGGCGAGAATCGTACCGGGGTGCCTTATCCACTGCGTGGAGGTAGCGGAGAACGAATATGCCATTGACTCCTCGGCACGTGTCCTGGACCACATGATCGTGATCGTCACCCACTTACAAGCTCGATATCGCATGTTCTGGTTACTTCGCCGATGCAGTCCTACGTCGACCTCACCATCCCTACCCTCTCAAAAATGGAATTTGAGGGGTGGGAGTCGTACTGAAATTTGATTTTAAAATTCCATTTTTGCAATCATGCTTTCTCAATGATCAATATTCCTCATCATTCCATGTCATTGGCAAGCAGATGAAAAATAAATACTTGCACTTAGCTCCGGAGAAGCCAAGAACATATCAGACTGAAGCAGCACATGTGTAGGGATGGCATCCCTCCAAAAATTGCGCTGCCGTCATCATACTTGCGCCTTGCTCCGGAGGAGCTAAGCGCAAGTATTTTCTAATTTGTGCCCAAGGCTTGTTAAGAAATGTTACTTTAAAATTCCGTTTAAGCAATTGGATCACTATCCCAGGGTTTCCAAGCAAAAAAAAAGTGGAATTCGACAGGTTGGTTTTGTCCCCCCCCGCCCTCTCCCTCTAGAGGGGTAGGGATACCTCACCAGGAACAGCATGAACACCCCTGAGTATGACACCTACATCCCGTATGTCGGTGAGAATGAACGAGCCCACGAGGGACGAGTACGTGGCTGCGTTCAAACGGCTTGCCACATGTGGAACGTTTGGTGGGTGAGACCTTGATATGTATCTCAAAGGGGTCGATGGTACGAAGTTTCTGTGCAAGATCATGAAGTACCTGGTCCAAACTGGTGTGACTCCACAATTCATCAGCAACAAGCTCACTGACGTGGCCGATGCTGACGACGACAATAAAGCCGAATTCGGATGCGATGTCACGGACTTCATCAGGAAGATTATAGCTGGAGCGTTCGCGGTCAGGACCTACGACCTACGACTACTTTCGAGTGGCTCCTCAACAACGAGATGATCATCTTCACATCGATCCAATTGCACTGACATGCGCGGTCATTGATCGAGCATGCAAGGACCTTGCGGTGATGATGCTGGCTCTCAACAAGATTGGCCTGGATATGCCAGCCGGACTCGCAAAGACCTCAAAAACAAGATGAAATCTTCCAAGTCAAGCGAGGCGCAGTTGGAGTACAACATCAAATCGCTCGATCCTGCAGATCGTGATGGTGCACGCGAGTACGTGAGAGCGATCGAAAATGCTCTTGATACAGCTGGTCAGGGCAGCTCTGCGGCTAGCAATCAAGCAGCAAGCAAATGCAGACGATCTGGGCGAAGATTCATCATCGAGGAGGGCTACTGAGAGAGGCATGAGAGCCGGGCTAATTCGACTCTTAGTGAATATTTTTGGGAATTGTCTCTTACTAACTAACTTCCCAAACTGTTTTCTTTCCTATGAGCTGAAGTAGGCAACTTCAGACGTGCCAGTCCCAAATGTTTGAGCTGCAAGTGTACAGCATAGTGCATGATCTGACTCGGACATTCGCCCGTGTCGGAGATTGCACATATACTATATTGTCGAGGAACCTGCGGTGAACTATGTGGGTTCGTCTACATAGGGATCCAATGGGGAATCACATTGTTTCATTTGCTGCGTAGACATCTAGATCAACGATTCCTACCCTCAGCTATTAAAAATGAAATTTGAGGTGGGGGGAGCCGTACTGAAATTTAATTTTAAAATTCCATTTTTGCAATCATGCTTTCTCAATGGTCGAACATCCCTCGTCATTCCATATCATTGGAAAACAGATGAAAATTAAATACTTGCGCTCAGCTCCGGAGGAGCTAAGGCAAATGTATGGCAAATGTCACACTGAAGCAGCACATGTGATGGGTGGCATCCCTCCAAAAATTGCGTTGCCATCATCATACTTGCGCTTAGCTCCTCCGGCAAAAAAAAGGTGGAATTCGACAGGTTGGTTTTGTCCCCCGCCCTCCGCCTCTATAGGGGTAGGGATGATCAACGTTTCACCAACGTTGTAGCATTTTGCGGGGACAGGCGCCAATATCCCATTTTAGTCCATTTTAATTCAAGGGTTGACTTTAAATTTTGGCGTAAGCTCCTGCGGCGTGTGACAAACACAAGGTGTCAGACGTGGGGGGTGTGAAAGGTACTTAGGCCAGGTACAACCCATGTTAGCTGTGTATGTAGGAAGCTTTAGAGATTTTAGAGTGAACCAGCGACGGGGTCTGCATTCACCATTTGCCCACGCCGCCTGGCTCAAGACACAACGCTGGAAGTCTTTGGCGACTTATACATCTACTACAAACACAGAAGTGGTATCACAAACCACTCACGTTACATGTAAGTAGGTTGGTTGGGTAGGCCAACATGTGATATACATGTGATTTGACAAGTTGAATGGATGGCTGGTGGTTTTGACATTTTGGCCCAAGTCCACCAGCCATACTTCTTTTTCTTCATGGCGCTGGCCTCTCCCTGATCCCCTCTGCGGGGTGATGGGAAGGGGGGCTTTGCTAGGGCATCTTCAACACCCCATTAATTTGGGATCAATGGGGTCGGGTGATTGTAGGTGTCTTAAGTTGTACTTTGACCCTTTATATCGTGTATGGGATGCATCCACCCTACCTCTTACTGACCCCACTGCCAAACTGCACCACTGCCATTGCTGGCCCCAGCGGTTCTTCAGGAACAACATTGCAGGGCCGATCACCGGCTTCTTCACGGGACCCATTGTGGGCGCCTGGAGCGGGGCTGAGTTGATTCCTGACTTGCTGATATCAGCGACGATTAATATATCATATTCGATTATAATTCAATACACGCATGCTGCTGTATTAATCTGTACTACAGGATACTATTAATATAGTATACCTATATTGTGATCATCTATCATTTCAATTCCACCAATGATGTTGCCAACGCGTGCATGAGTAGAACAACGGCGAGGTGCTAGAGCCAGTAGCAGCTGGGGAAGTAGCTGAGGTCTGATCGTTTGACCTCGCGATTCGGGCGCCGTCGCCCAATTATTTTGGCTGGGCTGGTTTCCACCTGGGTGGCCGGAGTGTTGCGCCTTGGCAGCGCTAAGTGTAGATTGCATCTATACATGGTCTAGAATCATCTGATGAACATCTAGTGTCTTAATAATATGATAATTTATCAATATTATCACACACACGCGCAAATATCCGTTAATCGAAGGAAGTTTGGAAGTCAAGCTTTCACAAACTTCCGACAACATGGACAGATGAAGAAGCAGAGGTGGGAAGAGGAAGTTTAGAAGTCCAACTTCCGCCGATAATATGGACATATGAAGCACCAGAGGTGGGAAGCGTCAGAGAAAGGAGAGAAGAGAAGAGAAGAGAAGCAGAAGAAGAAAGAAGTTCAGAGAAGAGAAAGACGTAGAAGAAAGAAGATCAAAGCACACCAAAGCGCCTAGTTGAATGATGGGGACAAATGGACAGCGGGACATAGCGGGACACAGCAGGAGAGCGGGTCATGGAAAGAGAACATATACGCGACCTTTTTTGTCCGTTGGAGAGGGATGGGACTACTGAGAACCATGGGGTAGCGGGACAGCGGGAGATGGAAAGAGAACAAGGAAATGAAGGTAGGCGACCTTTATCGTCCCTTGGTGCGATGGGGACAGAGATGAGACTATGAAGAACGATTGGGAGATAGCGGTAGCGGGACAGCGGGAGATGGACGCTGGGGTGAAACCGACCTAACGAGGGATATTGTGACTTTTAAGGAGGCGTCGAAGAGGTTGGCTAGAGGAGATGTGAGGGGGGAGGAGCGGCGTCTTCTTTCCGAACGCAACAGGGATAATTTGCCTAAGAACGCTCTTTCTGGAACCCACAGACAGAGAACAGAAAATCGACCCAAAAAGGGGACTCAGAGTCCCATTTCAGACTCGTTCATGTGTGCGACTCCGGGCTAAAAGAGGTCTGGCTTTCGTTCCTCCCTTTTCATATATATATATATAATCTCATACATACATACCAGTAGTGCCGCACAAGGCGGTGGCCGAAGTTCGATAGGACACTATAGGAGAGGCGGGTTGTTGTGCATGGATGGCAGAGCGAACCCACTGATGGACTGAAAGGTGGTTGGAGTTGCGTTTTTTGGAGTGGTTCCAGTGGTTGCAGTGGTCGCCTCACTCACAACTCCTGGCTGTAGTGTGGTGTAGTGCAGTTGTAGTTGTAGTTGTAGTGTAGCGTAGTGGAGTTGTAGTTGTAGTGTGGTGCAATTAGTGTAGTGTAGTTGTAGTTGCAGTTGCAATTGTGGTGTGGTTTAAGTTGTGTAGTGTAATGTACTGTAGCGTAGTGTGCTGTAGTGTTGCGTACTATAGTGTGGTATTAGTATAGTGTAGTATCAGTGTAGTGTCAAGTAGTGTAGTTGTAGTTGTAGCTGTAGCTGCAGGGCAAGGTACTGTAATTAGCGTAGTGTAATGTAATGTAGTTGTAGTTTGTAGTGGTAGTTGTAGGTGTAGTTGTGGTTATAGTTGTTGTTGTGGTTGTAGTTGTAGGTGTAGTATAGTGTAGTGTAATGTAGTGTAGTAGCAGTTGTAATTATAGTTGCAGTTGCAGTTGTAGTATAGCGTCGTGTAGTGTAACTAGTGTAGTGTAATGTAGTTGGAGTTGTAGTTGTAGTTGTAGTTGTAGTTGTAGCTGTCTGTCTATCTATGTATCTATCTATCTATCTATCTATCTGTCTACCTGCAAGCTTGAAAACGAAGCTATCCTGCAAGACCTCTTCAATGTTTTAACTTGGCAACATCGAAAATGCAGCAATTCCGCAAGATTTCCTCAATGTTAACTTGACAACGTCAAAAAGGACGCAATTCTGCGAGACATCCTCAATTTTTGAAGTTGAGAACATGAAAAACTAAGCAATTCTGCGAGACTTCCTTCAAAATGGAAAGTTGAGTGCAAAGCTGACGGCCTCGTATCAATGCGTTTTGCGATTTATCCACTCCATCTGTGTAAAGTGCTGCGCCTGCCACGCAAAAGTGACGCCAGGTCATCCGAAGTGCTGCACCTGTCACGCAAAATCATCTGAGCAAACCTGAAGATCTGATGCTCCAAAATGCAACCCGTCTCAGGAAATCAGCGCCCTGACCTCCTAACATCTCTGATGAACATGTCTTTTGTACTGCGCCTGCCACGCAAAATGCATCTTTATCAAATGTTCCACGCCTGCCATCGTTTTTTGGAAGTACTACAAAGCCCTCACGTTTTGCTCACTTTTGGCAAGGGGCGCCTGCCACGCAAGACCACATCTGAACCTTCAAAAGCAGTTTGAGCATGTGGTGCTTTTAACATCTTGACTTTGAAATTTGCTTCGCGCCACAACGGCGTGCACTTTTTTCGACATGTCAACTTCCAAAAGTGTTCTGATGTTGGTGCATTTTGCACATTTTGACTTCGAAATGTGCTTCGCGCCACAACGGGGTGCACTTTTTCGACATCTCAACTTCCAAAAGTGGTCCGAGGCTGAGGTGTTTTGTAATGTTTTGTACATTTTTACTTCCAAATGTGCTTCGCGCCACAACGGCGTGCAAGTTTTCATCTCTCATCTGGCCAGATGGCTCCGCACCCGCCCCTTTTTAGCGAGCCTACTTTTCGACCCTCTCGGGCCACAAATCATTGGAAAAACAAAATGTTTCGCGACTTTTCTACCTTTTCCCGTACCTGCATCTTCTTTCTTCTGACTCTTTCTCTTCTTTGCCCAAAAGATCAGGTTAGGCAATTTCCGGCCTAATAATTAATTCCTTATTTCCTACCTAATTAGGTAATTTTTAAGGTAAACATCTAACCTAATTTTAAGGTAATTCGGCACGTGGGGTTGGAAGTTTGCGTGCAAACTTGCGAGGCGGGGCTGAAAGTTTGCATGCAAACTTGCGAGACGAGGTTGAAAGTTTGGATGCAAACTTGCGAGGGGAGGTTGAAAGTCTGCGCGCAAACTTGCGAGGCGGGGTTGAAAGTTTGCGCCAAAACTTGCAAAGCGTGGTTGAAAGATTGCAAGCAAATTTGCGCCCCTGGACACGCACGCAAGCATTTGCAGGCAAATGGTGGTGCAAGTTTACATTCAAACTTGCGAGGGGGGTTGAAAGTTTGCCTGCAAACTTGCAAGGGGAGGTTGAAAGTTTGCGTGCAAACTTGCGAGGCGGGGTTGAAAGTTTGCGTGCACACTTTCGTTCAAAGTTAGGTTTAAAAAAGAGATAAGGCAAGAGAAATTAACTAGTTTAGGTAAGGAAAAAATAAACTAATAGGGATTTTGTTGTCTGAGATAAGGAATTACGTTTTCGGCAGGAAATTGCCTAACCTGATCTATTGGGTGATCTTCTCTCTTCTTCTCTTATCTTCTCTGCCTCTTCCCACCTCTGCTTTTCCATCTGCCCATATTGTCGGAAGTTTGACTTCTAAGCTTCCTTCGATAATATACACCTGTCATATCATGCCACATCGTATCACGAATCAGCCGTGCTTCATTGCTATGAACTACAGAGATCTCCGGGGAACATCGGGTTCCCTAACAGACCCCAGCAAGATCAAGATGGGCTAGGGGAGGGTTGCATAGAGAAGAGGGGCGGAGTGGGGAATCGGCGATGTGAGGTTCTCAGCTGCTGACCACATGTTTGAGGACTCCACTGGAAAGCACCTCGCTTCCAAGAGGACTTGTTATTGAATCTGAGAAATCTGATAATGTAATTAATAATGTCCTTCTTGCAATTGACTGTATTTGTGGAAGTGTGCTTTGAAAAACTGCGGAGATAAATGAGAGGGAGCGAAACATGTAGACACTTCATACTTTGATCGTTTGAGCGACAAAATAGGACATCCTATGGAGAAATTTTGCTTCAATCTACACATTGGACTGTCTAGATATGCTTGACTGCTAGGCCTGAGTGTGTGGCTAAGGATTGCGTTCGCTGTGCCCATGTATTGGATAATGGACGTGACCATCAACATCTTACAGACCCCATACCGGGCATTGGTGTCGGATTTGGCCACCAAAGAGCAGCAGATTCCAATGCAGGTGGTTCTGCCACAGTCAAGCACGGCCAGACCGGCAAACATGATGGGCCATTGCCATTGTTGTCTTGAGGATTCTTGAGGATGGCTGTGTGGCAACAAATACAGCATAGATCAGACTGGCATTTCAAGACTGAGGACTTTTTGCGCACTTACTACAGTTTGCAAATAGGTAGAGACCTTGGAGTGAGCCGGAGCAGGTAGCGACTATGATAAGACATGACTACCGTGGGCAGGTGATTTTTGTCTTCTTTATGGCCATTGGCAATATGATCGGCTACTCAATCATGAAGATTTGGGATGTGCCTGCCTTCCACATGCTGAAGTTGATGCTGATTCTTGTCCAGACGGTCAAGCAAATTGCAGCGGCAGTTCTTCTCAAACGATCGGAAGAGGTATGTGCCTTTGTAGTGCTATTGAGAACTAGGACGAGTCAACTTGGCTGAGTCTATTTGGGCCTTTCACACAAAAGTGGCTGTAGACAACTGATGACAACAATGGCCCTCCATGTTTCAAGGACGGGTGTCCTGTAAGTCTTCCGCTTATCTTGGGCTGTTGATTCGTTTATTCTGTGCAGTCGTGCCTGAAACATAGACATGAGATGACATGAGCATGTATGCTCACAATTTAGATGTTTGCTTGAACCAACTGTCCAACGTTTTGTTTCAAGGCTCAATCAGCTGGTGGGTGCACTTCCAAGGATCATCTGCACCCTGAACACCATATGCATCGCTATTCAGTTCATGGTGGCCAAAGAGGAGCTGCCGGCACACGGAGCCAAACCCTCGAAATATCTGGAAAATCTTTGAAATAAGATCATACTTTATCATACTACTATCAATTACATTCAATTAGCAACATATGTTGCCGTGGTCATCCGTCCTGTTCTTGATTGCGGGTCCTTAATCTGTCAATGTTCGGTATTGACGCCCTGGCCTCGAAAAGGGGCTTGAAGGGGATGTCGACGCCAGTGCCAGGAGCCGTTGAAGCGAGTAGAAGGTGAAAAGGCCAACTGCTGTAGTCCTGTAGTCAGTGTCTTCAAATCATTGCGAGGCACCCTGGCTGAGATTAATGAGCAATCATCAGCAGCTAACTTTGCTTGACCATTCTAGACAAGTTGAAGCCAGCAAGCGGAGTTTGCAACATGCATACCGGCTGCATACCCATCGTCATAAGCAAATGTTTTGCAAACTCCGTCTCTTTATATACACATGACAAGGTCAGAGTCAGTCAGAGTGAAGTGCATGCTCACATACCCTGCTGATTGTGACTGTTGGAACATGCTAGGCGGCAGATACCCCTGACCAAGTTCACTAGCCTTCACTAGCTCACCCCCTTTTGATCGAAAGTTGAACTGAGGCATGCCACGGTTGCTCTACCACCTTGCCTTCGTGCAGTGTTCCTTGCTAGAATGCCTTTTCTCAATTCAGCTTGTTTTGGGATATATAACTTAACCCAACAAGCCTCCAGATCTACAATGGATCGTGCTCTATGTGGCCCTTCAGATCTACAAATCTGCAGTTCTTGAGCTCCGCATGGTCCAGCCAGGCTTGGTTTGGATCGGCAACACTGCCTGGACCTACTATGCATCCCAATGGTTCGCGGACTCGGTCTACCAAGGCCAGGATGTTCTTGGACCATCTTGGACCGTATTCTGCAAATTTCCGCGAATCAGCTTCAAAATCGTTCAGACTTTTGTTTGTTGCAGTCCTTCTTGCTACTTATTGGCCTTCCACTCACAATAAGAACTGCCAATTTTTTGATTCCGATGAAATGTTACTTTGACTTCACCGCATTTCCTTGCCTGTTTTGCAGCATTTGGAGCCAAAGTTAGATAAGTTAGGTAAGCGAGCAAACAAGAAATGGGCCGCTAGGTCGAAAAGCCAGAGTCACACCTTCAACAACTGCAGAGACTCTAATTCCACTCCGAGTTTAGACAGTGCATGCAAACTAACCTGCTCCGAAATGCTCTTTGCTCCTCAAAATGTGCCACAACCGGATGCGAGACTGCGCTGGCTATATATGGCAATACATGATCATACATGGCTATTTGCCCCGAGTTACAGAAACAAAGCATGAGCATGCCAGCACTGTCCATATCGCAAGCACATGGTACATCGGGATGCCGCTTCCAAACTAAACGCACTGGTACCAACCAATATCAACCTAATCCAACCTTGATGGAACAACTTTTGCGAAAGGATTGCTTTGGAAGTTCTCTCATGGCAGATGATCTCCGCACCTTGCTAAAGGAAGCCAAGCCAGGCTGGAGTGCGCAGGACAATTCTGATCTCAGCGATTCCCAGACATTCCTGGCGGATCCTGCAGGGCATCTCCCCATCATTTCCCCAAAGTATCCCAAAGATCCCCAAAGTATCCCAAAGTCATCCATGAGACCAGGACCTGTCGGCGGTCCAACGCAAGCTGACCAAAATTGGTATCCAAAGTGCCAAGGAACCTTGAATCAGTCCGAATGAAAATGATCAGAAAGGAGGATGAAGGAATCGTCCGACAATTCACCAACGAGCAAGAATACACATGGTCAATGTAAGGCTGACCATAAGGCCATAGGGATTCCAAAAAGACCCTTCAAGATTCAGCCACATTGAGCCATATATTCTATAGTCATAGTAGTCACATTCCATTGGTTTCTCCTTTTGCTGCATGACTCAAGTGGCCTTTCCGAGGAACTCTCGGAATCGTTCAGCCAGCTGAATGAGCTCCTGTCAGCTGCGGGCTTCTTGAAGTTTAGTAATGACACCTTGGAGGAGTTGAAACTGCGCCTGCCATCCAAAGTGGAAGGCCAAAAAGTTTTTTCTGGGAGAAATGGTTGCATATGATGCATGTGGGGGTTCGGATGAACCATGGAGGGTGGGGGAGCTCTGAGTGGAATTGATGAAGCTGTTCAAAGACTGCAGAACATGAAAGATGATGATGCATGAATGACGAGGGCTGCAGGAGCCAAAATGTTATGCACTTGTCAGAGCTGTTACTCCTCCAAAACATTCTGTCAACAGCATTTTAGAATATTTTGGATTCCATCCCTCTGTGCACTAGTGAAGGGATTCATCACCCACAGATATCCGCGGTTTCTATATGTTATATGTTCATTATGTTCTATCTATCAAATTATCAGATTGTGACGTCGCTGATGCGGCAAGGCCTTCGGGGTGTTCCATCCTTGACGAATCGCAAGATGGGCTTCGGGGGCCCAAGTCCTCATAGAGTCTTCCAGCATCACCAGCCAAACGTGGCAAACCTGGAGGCTCGCAGTGTCGCAGAATGCCTTTGGTGCTGCGCCATGAAATAACAACTGTGTACCATGAAAAAACATGAAAAAACATGAACGTTTAGGAATTATATGGGCTTGTGGCATTATGCTGAAGTGCTTAGATTCTGTTGGATTTTATGTCTTAAGGTCGAATTAACGTCGAATTCATGTACAAGTAACGTTGCATACATTGCCATGTCTGGCATGGCGACAGGTGAAGACCTTTGACTGGAAAGACTGGGAGGTGAAGCCCCCATCCACTCCACCCCTGCTGGCACGACCTTGCGTGATGGCTTCCTATGCTGCTGAACTGGATGAGCACCCAGAGGAGGAAGAAGAAGAGGAAGATCCAGAGGCGGAGCCCATGCAAATGATTGAAAATTGACATGAATTGAACACACATTGTCACATAGAAATACATAGAATGTAAATGGATGATGTAATGTGGCACAACCACCGGCTCTACTTGGAACCAAAGCGACGGAGGACATCAGGAAACTCAACCATTTTGCTCAGGTTGTTTCACAGGCCCTGTGTCCTGGACCTGAGGCGCACTTGTCAGAAGATGACATGATGACGCTTTGGCATCGAAGGGCATTCGGTTCCGCACAAAAACAGGAAGGAGATGGAGATGAGATGCGATAGGTTTTTGATGAGTTGTGATATGTGTTATATTTTGTAAAGGAGAAGGCCAGTCCATCTCTGGCCTTCTTTTTACATCTTTTTCATGTTAAGTAGTGTCTTTTGTGTTCTAGTCCATCGAGGAAGTTGTGTGTGGCCAAGAAGATCCCACTCCTCCAACTGGAGAGCAGTCGGCGGGCTATGCTGGTGATCCGCCAGCTGGACCTACTAGACAAAATGTCTATTTCAGCGCTCAGAACCGAGTACAAGACATTGGGCAGCACTCAACAAGTTTGACGGCTTGACTATCAAAGACTATAACTTTCTAGAGATGTCTTGAACGTTTGAACAAATGATGAAGATGATGCTTCTGACTCTGACTCTTAAGTGATCTCATTGCTTTGATAGCGGCACCTGATAGCGTTTGACAATGTCCTTGCATGTTCTTGCCACCTGCCATCCCCTTGCGCCGAAAAGTGAGCACAGGAAAAGAGGCTTCGCACCAGATTTTAAGCTGCGAAGGGAGCAACTCCTTGCCCATGTCAAGGACGTAGTGATTCGGGAGAACCTGAAACTCGAAGATCTACAAAATCTGTGTCGACAGCAACAACTGCCCGTCGAAGAGGGCATGCCGCGATCGAGCTTAATGCAGCTTTTAGCGGAATCTTGGCATCTAACATCATCAAACTGGCTCACCATCATCAAGCAGCATCCATAGTATTCGTCCGTATTGTATGGTATTCTATATAGGATTGGAATACACATGAATGTATGAATGCACCGCAGAAATTACAGTAGATGTACTGTAATACGATGTGATATGATGTAACTAGATGATGTAACAGGTGTGATCATGTATTATCCTATCCTTTTCCTGATTCCACACTGTACTTGGGACATGGCTGTCAGGATGACTCCTGGTCTGTGGTGGGCATCCCAGTGCAACAGCTGCCAAGTTTAGTGGTGGCCCATGGAATCCTGGATTCTGTGGCAACGCTTCACAGCAAGCAGCTGCCTGAGCTGGTGGCCAATGCGAAACGCATGGGGATTCCATTGGAACACAAACCCGATCGTGAGGAGAGAGTCGGAGAGAGAGCTCTGGTCGGGCCATCGCAGGAAGATCAGGAAGGACCATAATTATTTAAATTTAGAGTGATGTAATAACGATGTATATAATTATGTTAATAAATAAATAAATAAATATATATATATGCATAGAAAGAGATATATGCTTGAAGTTGTAGGATGATCTAGGATGCAGCTTGATGCGCTCGATGCGAAAAGGACCCCATACAGAATTTAGATTTGGATTCAGAGGAATGAGGAGGCGTGTCTTCATTCATATTCATATGACTCACATATACTCGTCGAAGGAAGTTTGGAAGTCAAACTTCCGACAATATGGAGAGATGAAAAAGCAGTCAAAAAGTGCACGCCGTTGTGGCGCGAAGCACATTTCGAAGTCAAAATGTACAAAATACACCAGCTCCGGACCACTTTTGGAAGTTGAGATGTCGAAAAAGTGCACGCCGTTGTGGCGCGAAGCACATTTCGAAGTCAAAATGCACAAAACACACCAGCTCCGGACCACTTTTGGAAGTTGAGATGTCGAAAAAGTGCACGCCGTTGTGGCGCGAGGCACATTTCGAAGCCAACATGTTAAAAGCACCAGGGGTTCGGACCACTTTTGGAAGTTGAGATGTCGAAAAAGTGCACGCCGTTGGCGCGAAGCACATTTCGAAGTCAAACTGTTAAAAACACCAGGGTTTCGGACCACTTTTGGAGGTTCAGATGTCGCTTCGCTTCGCCTCGGGTCATTACACTGCACTATACACTCCACTACACTACAGTACATTACACTACACTACACTCCACAACGCTACAACTACAACTACAGAACTACACAACTACACTCCACTACACTCCACTACATTAAATTACAATACACTACGCCACATTACACTACACTCCACTACACTACATTACACTACACTATACACTCCACTACACTACATTACACTGCACTATACACTCCACTACACTACAGTACATTACACTACACTACACTCCACAACACTACAACTACAACTACAGAACTACACAACTACACTCCACTACACTCCACTACATTAAATTACAATACACTACGCCACATTACACTACACTCCACTACACTACATTACACTACACTATACACTCCACTACACTACACTACATTACACTACACTATACACTCCACACACTACAGTACATTACACTACACTACACTCCACAACACTACAACTACAACTACAGAACTACACAACTACACTCCTCTACACTCCACTACACACCGCTACACTAAATTACACTACACTACATTACACTACACTAGAAAGATCGATAGATAGATAGATACATAGAAAATAGATAGGTAGGTAGGTAGATAGTCAGAGAAAGAGAGAGAAAGAGTGAGAGAGATCAAGCACCTTTCAGTCCATCAGTGGCTTCGCTCTGCCATCCCGGATTCACAACAACCAAGCTCTCCTATAGGTTTCCTATTTTTGAAACTTCCGCCACCGCCTTGTGCGGTACTACTGGTAATTACTCGTGCATAATAGTGTTTGTTGCATAAGTCATTGTAGATAAAAGCTATAAAGGTATAGATAATTTATATTGCTTTCTGGACTGCTGACAGGAGCTTCTGCCCCGCATTGTCAAGGCAATGGTGTGGAAGCAGATGGATGATGCAGCACTACGTGTGGAATGCGAGCGCTGTGGCGCTCCGCTGGATGATATACCACGGCATGCTTCAGGTGGTGTGACTTGACGCATATCCACATATATCCATTGCCTATCACGGGAAGCTCAAAGGCATGCAGCAGTAACTCGTGGCTATCGGCCTAATTCGTTTGATTCCTTGGCTCACTGTGCTCGCAGTGGAAAAACCCAAAAACATCACAAGCAACTTCGTGATGCTATGTGATGCTTTCTGGGTGACCCTGTTAGGAGGTTGTGTATTTGGTTGGTAACAGCGGCAGGGCTGAGTTGGTCGTTACTTTTCATTATCGTTTTGCTGACGTCCTCTAGGCAATGGCTAGATTCATGCCTTATGCTGGTCACTGTTCCGTTTTGATGTCAGATGGTATTTGTGCTACTTCCTCCTCTCCATATCTCTCCATGATACTCCTGCATTTCAAATTCGGCGTGTGTGGCTGCATCCATGGATTCGCCTTGTCCCTAGGTCAAGTTGCTAGTGAACAATGGCTGCAAGCTGGGCCGGCAGAAGATGGAACAGCTCCTAGCATGCCATCGTTTTTTCAAATCAGTAGGGTTAGTGATATAAGATGATATAAGCATACATAAGCAACAGACTCATGTGAACAGGGCAAGCAAAATTCAGGTCTTGAAAGAACTTTTCCTGACTGCCCTCCATCCTTTCTGGATAGATTAAATAGTCACTCCGTCCAAATGATCCAGATGAGGCTTTTGCTGCAGTCCTTGTGGCTGGACATTTGGAAGGCCAATGGTATCTTTGTACAAAGTCTTGGCAACCATGAGACTGCTGCAAAGCTCTTCACAGAGGTGGGGGTGATGTTGGAAGGTGTTGGACAAACTTGGCTACTCTTTTTTTAAATCCAGAATCATTCAGATAATCAGATAGATCATGGTAGGTCCGGACATTGACTTTGATGTTGGGGGCCGTAGGACTAGGGAGCCACAGATCATTTGCCATGCAGGTGGAGGCTTTGCATTCAGAAGACATGGCTCAAGTACAAGAACGCTACAGGGCACTTGATCTTCCTGTAGGCCAGCTTGATGATCACAAGTGGGTTATGCAACTTGCTCCTGAAACATGAAACCAGTTTGGGTCATTAAATCACAGAGCAGCTTCGTATAGCGTTGTACTCATATAGTTTGATGCCTTCTGCCAAGATCTTCTAAGGCAACGCGTCTCCGAATCGCTTTTCTGGGAAGCTTTGCCCCTGTCAGAGCTGCTGGAAGAATGCGAGATGCGTGGAGTTTCCGTCAGCGACAGGGAACGTCAAGCAGATGAAGATGCGAGGATACATTGCCTTTTTCTGTTGAATCTTGGTCACCTGAAGGTGACAATTCAATCATCATTACGTTAGCAACTTCCTGCCAATTGACATGAAAGGTTCTGGATTCATTACTCACTTCAGCACAACTCTTCTCATTCTCTGGTGGAGGAGAAGCATCGTCCGGAAGTTGGTGAAGGAGTCCTGCCTCAGAGCTTGGGTGTCTCAGCTTCTGCTCAGCACAGCCACAGTGAGCATAAATTACAATTGTATATTCATTATCAAAGGAAGTTGGGAAGCAATCTTCCGAGTTACGGACAAATAGAATTGTGAGACCTTACATTTCTAATAATTCATTCATGAAGGGTGGTGTGAGACTTTAAATCACATAGCAATACATCATGAAGGGTGGTGTGAGACTGTGAGACTTTACATTACATAGCAACACATTCATGAAGGGTGGTGTGAGGCTTTACATCACATAACAATACATCATGAAGGATGGTGTGAGACTGTGAGACTTTACATTACATAACAATACATTCATGAAGGGCGGAGTGAGACTTAACATCACATATTACATCACAGAACAATGCATTCGGGAAGGGTGGTGTGAGACTTTACATTCCACTTTGCATCACATGGTTGCAGAACGAATGTTGCATGGGGCTTGTGTTGGGGAGGAAGCCGGAGCACGAAACCATGCGTTTTTCCGTGCAAAGTGGCTGCAGGTGGCGATGAAAGGTACCTCGGGTGTGCGGCGGTTGCGGCTGCGATCGTTCTGCAACGTGTGGTTGTTCACCTGTGCGTAGTTCCATGCGCTTGTTGACTCCATGTTTGGAGATTGCAGTGTAATGGCAGCATGATGCTGCATGATGCTGCATGATTGTTGTTACGTTTTGTTTTGTTTTCATGTGCGCAGATACATGCAGGTTTGCCACGTGATGCTGCAAAACGCATTGTAATGGCTGCATGAATGTTGCATGGGGCTTGTGTTGGGAAGCCGGAGCGCGAAACCATGTTTTTCCGTGTAAAGTGGCTGCAGGTGGCGATGAAAGGTACCTCCTGTGTGCGGCGGTTGCGGCTGCGGTCGTTTCGAGGTCGAAATTGTTCTCCCTTGGTGTTCTGCGACGTGTGAATGCAAATCGCATTGTAATGGCTGCATGGATGGGTACGTGTTGCTGCAAAACGCATTGTAGTGGCCGCATGACTGGTGCATGGGGCTATTTTTGTGGAGGGAGCCGGAGCAGGAAACCTTTTTTTTGTTTGTGTGTAAAGTGGCTGCAGCCGGCGATGAATCATACCTCGTGTGTGTGCGGTGGGTGCGGCTTGGATCGTTTCGAGCGTAATCGGTTCTCCCTTGGTATTCTGCGACGTGCGGATGCCAATCGCATGCTGCATGGATGGGTACGTGTTGCATCACTACCCTCTTGTATTGTGGAAGAACTGTTGGCTTCAAGTCTTGTGTGTGTACGGTACATATCCAAGTTTGCACATCAGGCAACAATAAACTACAAGGACCGCCAAACAGCTGAGACCATTTAATTTGGTAGAAATATGCCAAAATACAGCTAGTTTTGCTATGAAATATTGTATTGTATTGAGCCAATGAATATCAGAGAGAAATTTCAGTTTTGCCCGGTTGTGCCATGCTCAAATGATAGAGTTGTGTTTGCTTCTATGTTGCCTGTCTTTATAGCAAGCGTGAACAAGAGGAATTTGATCGACAGAAGATTTCATTTTGTCCTCAAGCAATACTGCATCTTCCTGACAGAGCTCCCTACATCCAAGAGAGATATGGAATGTTTTGCAAGGGTAAGCATACTGTTCCCTTGAAAAGTTGTATTTCTAAACCCTAGTACAGTATCAACTCAGATTTTACGAGCAACAGCATGCTTCTCATAAGTCATCGTTGAAAATTTAAAAGAATGTGGCATTCCTTGAGGAAGTTGTGGCATACCTCTATGCAACAGTCTTCTACAGAGGGGGCAACATTCCTTTGAGAAAGTGTAAAGCAAGACCCTGAGATGTGCATAGCATTCCTTTAGAACAAGTGCGTTTTGTCTTCCATATATTTCAATAAAATATGTCATTCCTTCCATAGAGACCTCTGTACTAGTCCTTTTAGAGAAGGGTAGCATTTCTTTAAGATATAATTTGCATATACATTAGTGTTTTTCAAAAAAGCGGCATTCCTTTCAGACAGTACTTGATGGCTTCATGAAATATGGATTTAAACAATGGTGTTATGCAATATTCTTTCGAAAAAATCTTCATTTGGAAAATGCAATATCATTTTCAAATAGCATAATTCACTGTATGATGTTATTAAATATGTATATAGACATACAATTATACACAATATTCCTTTCAAAAGTGTGTAGCATCCCTTTGAGAAAGTAGCCTTCAAGACACACAGCAGTGCTTGTGAAAGAGTATGGCTGAGCATGGTATGATTTAAGTTCTTGTACCAAAAGGAAACCCTTTCACATATACAACAATCCCTTTGAAAGAGCGTGATGTTTCCGTAAGAAAGCGCAATGCATGGACATGTCATGTGAAGAAGTATAGTATTCCTTGCAGAAAGTATAGCATAGTATAGCATTATTTGGAAAGGGTATTCTCGAATAAGCAGTTGCACTTTAAGGGACCATGGTATTCCTTGAGGACAGTGCAGCATGCCTTTATGCAAGTTTCCTTGAAAAGGATGCAATATAATTTTATTTGTTCATTCCTTTGAAAAGAGGGTGGTGTTCCTTGGTCAGAAGAAAACTACACAAACAGAGCCACCACCTCCAGAAAATAGGAAATAAGGCCTTCCTCTTCTAGAACATAAAAAATAAGGTTTCCTCCCCAGAAAACCGCCCTACTTGTGAACATGAGTCGGAAGTTCACGGAGAAGCAAATGTTCCGTAGCAGACATGGCATCTGCTAGGCGCATGTTATCTCCCTCCACAGCGATCAGGACACAGACAGGCAAGGATGCAGACCGGTTTTGCAAAATTTGACTAAGAGCCAAAAGAAGATAGAGTAGGTCAAAGGTCAGCAAAACCCCCCCCCAAAAAAAACAAGAAAACCAAGAAGACCTACTGGGCCAGAGTGCCTCAGACATAGGGTTGTTTTTTATGTTTTTTTTTTGGCTTTTGTTTGCAGTTTTGCATGCCCCAAGGGAAGGATGCAGAGAGTTGAGTCTTGTCATTTGTTTGCAGTTTTGCATGCCCCAAGAGAAGGATGCAGAGAGTTGAGTCTTGTCATTTGTTTGCAGTTTTGCATGCCCCAAGGGAAGGATGCAGAGAGTTGAGTCTTGTCATTTGCTTGTTTTCTTGTCAGTCAATGCATAATATGTCAAAACAGAGACTGTGCAAAGAGGAGTGCAAAAAGCGCACTCTGGTGATCCCCTGTCCTGGAAAAATATAGGAGTTTTGGGGGGGGAAGAAAGGTAACATGGGCATTGCACGGGGGTACACCTGCTACGTTACATTTTCCAAGGCCCCCCCCCCATGAACAGCCACGGAAATACTTGGGCGGGGCTCTAGGGGGTAGAAATTGTATCATATCTCCGTGGGGTAGCCAAAAAATAAATGTTACTTTTTTGGGTCCCTCCCCCTCCCCCTCCCCTATCACCCCCCTATAGCTTTACATAGCCCTACCATAACCTACATTAACCTACCATATCCTCACCATTCATTCATCTCCATTCTACATTCTGATATATTCTGATATATTATCAAAGGAAGTTTAGGGGGAGAAACTTCCGTGTTACGGACTTTTAGAATGTCAGGGAAAGAGTTAGTCAAAGAAAGAGTTAGCAAAGAAACAGTTAGTCAGGGAAAGAGTTAGTCAAAGAAAGAGTTAGTCAAAGAAACAGTTAGGCAGGGAAAGAGTTAGTCAAAGAAAGAGTTAGTGAGGGAAAGAGTTAGTTCAAAGAAAGAGTTAGTCAAAGAAACAGTTAGTCAGGGAAAGAGTTAGTCAAAGAAAGAGTTAGTGAGGGAAAGAGTTAGTCAAAGAAAGAGTTAGTGAGGGAAAGAGTTAGTCAAAGAAAGAGTTAGTCAAAGAAAGAGTTAGTCACAGAATAGAGTAGTCAAAGAAAGAGTTAGTGAGGGAAAGAGTTAGTCAAAGAAAGAGTTAGTGAGGGAAAGAGTTAGTCAAAGAAAGAGTTAGCAAAGAAACAGTAGAGGGAAAGAGTTAGTCATTTAGCAAAGAAAGAGTTAGTCAGGGAAAGAGTTAGTCAGAAGTCAAAGAAACAGTTAGTCAGGGAAAGAGTTAGTCAAAGAAAGAGTTAGTGAGGGAAAGAGTTAGTCAAAGAAAGAGTTAGCAAAGAAACAGTTAGTCAGGGAAAGAGTTAGTCAAAGAAAGAGTTAGTGAGGGAAAGAGTTAGTCAAAGAAAAAGTTAGCAAAGAAACAGTTAGTCAGGGAAAGAGTTAGTCAAAGAAAGAGTTAGTGAGGGAAAGAGTTAGTCAAAGAAAGAGTTATCAAAGAAACAGTTAGTCAGGGAAAGAGTTAGTCAAAGAAAGAGTTAGTGAGGGAAAGAGTTAGTCACAGAAAGAGTTAGCAAAGAAAGAGTTCGTCAGGGAAAGAGTTAGTGAGGGAAAGAGTTAGTCAAAGAAAGAGTTAGTGAGGGAAAGAGTCAGTCAAAGAAAGAGTTAGTGAGGGAAAGAGTTAGTCAAAGAAAGAGTTAGTCAGGATATGTGAGGTAGTCAAAGAAAGAGTTAGCAAAGAAACAAGGTAGTCAAAGAAAGAGTTGGTGAGGAAAAGAGTTAGTCACAGAAAGAGTTAGCAAAGAAATTGTTCCCTCACTGAAGCACTGTAAATGGCATTGCAAGTGGTGCTGGTGGAGGAGTTGCCGATGGAGTTTTGGAGGAAGTCTCGCACGAAATGCGTTTTTGAGAGATAGCAGATAGCAAATGCACGAAAGCCTATGTTTTTCCATACAAAGTCCGTCCCCGAACATCGATGATCTACCTCTGCGGTGCGACGGTTGCGAGACGGTCTCGTGTGTGGTCGGATCATGCTCGGATCATGGGCGGATCATGCTCGGATCGGTTCCGCATTGTAAATGGGGTGTCAACAGTTTTTCGTGCATGTGCGGTCGACAGAATTCCATAGTGATTTGCAACTGTAGGATCGTTCCCGCATTGTAAATGGGGTTGCAAGTGGTGCTGGTGGATGAGTTGCCGATGGAATTCAATTGTGATTTGCAACTCTAGGATCGTTCCCTCA